TGCTGGGATTACAGGTGTGAGCCACCACGTCCAGCAAGAATATATATTTTTAGTTTAAAGACCTCTTCTTGGCTGGGCACAGTGGCTCAGACCTGTAATCTCAGTACTTTGGGTGGCTGAGGCAGGTGGATCACCTGAGGCTATAACCCCAGCTACTTGGGAGGCTAAGGCAGGAGAATTGCTTGAGCCAGGGAGGCGGAGGTTATGGTGAGCCAAGATCGCGCTACTGTACTTCAGTCTGGGTGACGGAATGAGACCCAGTCTCAAAAAAAAAAAAAAAAAAATTCCATTAATATAGGAGCGTTATTAACTGCCCTTACTGCCTTTTCAGGCAAAAGGGCTTCTATGAAATATTTGCAAATATCTTAGAATATGCAACTTAATTTGATTGGTTCATACTGAAATAAACTTGCTATTAAAAAGAAAACTAGGCCCGAGTATGGAGGCTCACACCTGTAATCCCAGCACTTTGGGAGGCCAAGGCAGGTGGATCGCCTGAGGTCAGGAGTTTGAGACCAGCCTGGCCAACATGGTGAAACCCTGTCTCTACTGAAAATACAAAAAATTAGTCGGGCGTTGTAGCGTGCACCTGTAATCCCACCTATTTGGGAGGCTGAAGTAGGAGAATCGCTTGAGCCCAGGAGGTGGAGGTTGCAGTGAGCCAAGATTGCACCACTGCACTCCAGCCTGGACAACAAGAGCGAAACTCTGTCTCAAAGAAAAAAAAAAAAAGAAAACTAGGCAGTGGCTTAATGCCATAATCCCAGCACTTTGGGAGGCCAAGGTAGGCAGCTTACTTGAGGCCAGGAGTTCGAGACCAGCCTGGCCAACACGGCGAAACCCTGTCTCTACTAAAAATACAAAAATTAATCAGGCATGGTGGTGTGTGCCTGTAATCCCAGCTACTCGGGAGGCTGAGGCAGGAGAATTGCTTGAATCTGGGAGGCAGAGGTTAAAGACCCTGTCTCAAAAAAAAAAAAAAAAGAAAACTAGGCTGTGTGAAGGGTGAAGGTGGCTCATGCCTATAATCCCAGCACTTAGGGAGGCTGAGATGGGAAGGAGGATACTTGAGCCCAGGAATTTGAGACCAGCCTGGGTGACATAAGGAGACTCCATCTTTTAAAAATAAAAACAATAGCCAGTTGTGGTGGTGCACACCTATAGTCCCAGCTATTTGGGAGACTGATATAGGAAGACTGCTTGAGCACAGGAGTTTGAGGCTACAGTGGGCTGTGATTGAGCCACTGCACTCCAGCCTGGGCCACAGAGTGACACCCTGTCTCAATATCCCTCACCACCACCCCCCGCAAAAAAATTAAAAATAAAAAAATATGTCAACTATTCAACTGTATTTTCCTTTCATAGAAAATACAGAATTTTTGCATTCACTTTTCACTTTGAATCAGTGTTTTTTCTCGGTTTGGAAACAATCCTGACGAGAAACAATTCGTTTGGAAAGGTTGGATTGTTCGGTTTTTTTTGCTGTCAGAATTGGATAAATAGCCTATGTCATGGGATAATTACTATAAAGAAATGAAGCTTGACAGTGAAGTGAGAGATTTGAAAAAATACAGTTAATAAGCAAGGTGAATTACTACCCTGTTTGTAAATATGGATACATTTTCAAGAGTGAAAAAAAGGAAGTTGATACCATTTATGTTAAATGTAACCAAAACATGTTGCATGTTACCTGGCTAAATGTAAATAAATATACATAAAACAAGTGGACTAGAAGGCTGCACAGGACTTGCAGTGGGAGCTCTGGGAATAGTGAGAGCCTGACCCACCTGGAGCTGGAAGGGGCCAGAGAGCTAGAGTTTTTAAATAAGAACAGGTTCTTATTTAAAAATCTTCATGTCTTCATGTATTTGTGTAATTTAGAAAAGAACGTAAACAACAGATATGGGAAAAGATGAACACTGGTGAATTCTGTGCAGTGGGAGCGTGGCGGGTGACAGATATGGGAAAGATGAACACTGGTGAATTCTGTGCAGTGGGAGCGTGGCGGGTGACTGTTATTTTCTTTATACCTTTAGGTATGTTTCCAACCATCAAACCAAAAACAAAAAAAAGATCCTTAATCTTAACAGGAAATAGCTGTCATTATGAGTGTTATTTCTATTCCCTGTTTTCATAGAAAATGTGGACACAGACTTGCCAGGCAGCCTGGGGCAGAGTGAAGAGAAGCCGGTGCCTGCTGCGCCTGTGCCCAGCCCGGTGGCCCCGGCCCCAGTGCCATCCAGAAGAAATCCCCCTGGCGGCAAGTCCAGCCTCGTGTTGGGTTAGCTCTGACTGTCCTGAACGCTGTCGTTTTGTCTGTTTTCTCCATGCTTGTGAACTGCACAACTTGAGCCTGACTGTACATCTCTTGGATTTGTTTCATTAAAAAGAAGCACTTTATGTACTGCTGTCTTTTTTTTTTTTTCTTTTTTTTCTTTTGAAGAACAGGTTTCTCTCTGTCCTGACTCCTGGGTCTGTGGGCCGTGGCATGAGTGTTTTCTAGTAGTAGATTGGAGGGAAAGCTTTGTGACACTTAGTACTGTGTTTTTAAGAACAAATAATTTGGTTCCAGATGTGTTAGAGGATCTTTTGTACTGAGGTTTTTAACACTTTACTTGGGTTTACCAAGCCTCAACTGGTCAGACCATGAACAGTCCCCAGGCACCGTTCCTGCCAGGCCTCAGCACAGGGAGTCTCTCCACAGAGCCGCCTTGGTGTTGCCCTAACTTGCCAGTGGCCTTTGCTCAGAGCCTCCTCCTGTGCCATGTGAACAATGAAGAGGCCTGTGCCTCATGCCTTGCCGCCTGCAAAGCAAAGAAACTGCCTTTTATTTTTTAACCTTAAAAAGTAGCCAGATAGTAACAAGACTGGCTGGCTGATGAGCAGAGCCTCTGCTCTCAGGCAGAGGAAGGCTTGGATGTACAATGAAACTGACTGGAACTAAGAGCAGTGAAGCAAGGGAGGCAATCACACCGAAGTGGGCCTTCATCCAGGAACGGGATCCCGCAGGGGTGTTTTTTTAAATAACTTGATGCTGTGTGCATGATGCTGGTGCTTGACCGTGAAAGGAAAGTCTCATCCTTAAAATGTGTGTTGTATTTCACAATCCTGGACTGTTGCTTCAAGTAAACAATATCCACATTTTGAAACACTGTGTACTGTGTCTTCTTTTTGAGATAGTTTCAGTGTTCTCTCTGGTTAGATGCTTTTCTCTTTGTCACTATAAATCCTGCCCACTGATTGGATGAGTCATTTGAAGTTAAATAGCCAGATATGCCTGTAATTAGCTACTTGGGAAGCCAAGGCAAGAGGATGCTTGAGCCCAGGAGTTTGAGGCTATCCTGGGCAACATAGCGAGACCTCCTTAAAAAACAAACAAAAATAAGTTAAAACATGAAGACCCGGAGAGAAGTGGGTTTCTTTCTGAAGAAGTCTCTAAAGTAGGTTAGACTCTTCTACCTCCCCATTGTTCTGGGCAGTAACATTTTAAAGTGTTCTCCAAGACTGGGCAACATGGTGAAACCTCATCTCTACCAAAAATAGCCAGGTGTGATGACACACGACTAGTCAGGAGGCTGAGGCAGGAGGATTGCTTGAGCCTGTGAGATCGAGGCCGCAGTGAGCCACAATCGCACCACTGCACTCCAGCCTGGGTGACAGCAAGACCCTGTGTCAAAAAAAGTGTTCTCCAACTTTAAATATGTGGGGATTTCTCCCCACCAGCAAGCAAGCAAGCAGTTCTGCAGTGGATACCAGCTAGATGTCCTCCAATTTTTTTTTTTTTTTTTTTTGGACACAGAGTCTTGCTCTGTCGCCTAGGCTAGAGTGCAGTGGTGTGATCTCAGCTCACTGCAAGCTCCGCTTCCCGGGTTCACGCCATTCTCCTGCCTCAGCCTCCACCGTAGCTGGGACTACAGGCGCCCGCCACCTCGCCCAGCTAATTTTTTGTATTTTTATTAGAGACGGTGTCACCGTGTTAGCCAGGATGGTCTCGATCTCCTGACCTCGTGATCCGCCCGCCTTGGCCTCCCAAAGTGCTGGGATTACAGGCGTGAGCCACCGCTCCTGGCCCGGTTCAGCATTTTCTAGACGGGAGTAGGTAAGCCATGTCAGTTCCACATAAAGTCCTGAGGACAGTCCTGATTACCTATGTTTGATCAAAATCATCTTTCCAGGGGAAACCACGCTGAAGCTCCCATGTTTCAAGCCAACTCTAGTGTGAATTAGCTCTTAACCAGCTAGACTTACACAAAGCAGTTAACAGATTCATTTCACTTTGTAGTCCTCAAGGGACTGTTCCTGCCCCACTCACAGACGATATCAATCCACTGAGACTGCCGCACTCACAGACGAAATCAATCCACTGAGACTGCCCCACTCACAGACGAAATCAATCCACTGAGACCACGGCATTGCGGTAAAAAAAAGAGTTTGGCCGGGCGCGGTGGCTCACGCCTGTAATCCCAGCACTTTGGGAGGCCGAGGCAGGCGGATCACTTGAGGTCAGGAGTTTGAGATCAGCCTGACCAACATGGCTAAACCCCGTCTCTACTAAAAATAAAGATTAGCCAGGCGTGGTGGCAGGTGCCTGTAATCCCAAGTACTCGGGAGGCTGAAGCAAGAGAATCGGTTGAACCTGGGAAGTGGAGGCTGCAGTGAGCCGAGATCGCGCCACTGTTGCACCGCATACGGCCTGGGCGACAGAGCAAGACTCCCTCTCAGAAAAACAAACAAAAAAACCGTGGAGCTAGCCCCACAGGTTTAGGACCCTTGACTTCCTCGTTAGTATTTCAGATCAACCCTTTGTTGGGCCCCTGGAAGGTCGGTCCCCTACTAGTAACGTGAGGTGAACGGGGGTACGTCTGCTGTAAAGTGGGGGGCGTCTGATGCGGACAAAGGCTGGGTCCCGAGAAAGCGCAGGGTCAGAAAAGTGCCCCCCAAAGCTGTCCCTGCACCCGAACCCCAGGAAGGCCTCGCGCAGAGCCTTCGGCAGCGGTTTACGACCTGGGCGGGGCGTCCCGGAGGCTCTATGCAAATCAGCCCAGCGGACCCCGTCCAGCGCCCGGGCTCCGGAAGCAGCGCTCCCCTCCCACTCCCCGCGCTTCCGGCCGGGCCCGCGCCCCCCAGACGCCGAGAGCCTGCAGCCCCGGCCCGGCGGCGATGGCGCGGCGCCTGCGTGTGCTGGTGGACATGGACGGCGTCCTGGCCGACTTCGAGGCCGGCCTTCTGCGGGGCTTCCGCCGCCGCTTCCCTGAGGAGCCGCACGTGCCGCTGGAGCAGCGCCGCGGCTTCCTGGCCCGCGAGCAGTACCGCGCCCTGCGGCCCGACCTGGCGGTAGGGGGCGCGGGGTCCCCACACGGGCAGGGCCGGCTCGCTCCGTTCCCGGGGTCACCCCCTTCTGTGTGAAGGGCGCAGAGCCCTTACCCTGGCACCCGCGGGCAGCGCACCCTGGGGAGGAGTCTTTGGGCGCGTGCCCCTGACCAAAGACCCCTCCGCAGCTCGGAGCCCGGGCCCAGAGCCCCCAGGAGCCTCCCTGCGAGTCCTCGTGGGAACTGCATCTGCCGGAGGCAGAAGCCGGGACCCAGAACTCTTGTCTTTCAGGATAAAGTGGCCAGTGTGTACGAAGCCCCGGGCTTTTTCCTGGACCTGGAGCCCATCCCGGGGGCCTTGGACGCTGTGCGGGAGATGAACGACCTACCGGAGTAAGGAGAGTGGGGGCGGGCGGAGTCCTGGGCGGGCTCCCGGCTCCCGGCGGTAACCGCGACCTTCCCCGCAGCACGGAGGTCTTCATCTGCACCAGCCCCCTGCTGAAGTACGACCACTGTGTGGGTGAGAAGGTGTGGCTGCCCCGCCCCTACTCCGCACGTGGAGCTGCCTAAATCCTGATTTTAAAAAGAAACCACCAGAAACCCAGAAGGTCGGGGGTGGGGGGCTCTCAAAGGCTTAGACCCCACTCCCTGTCCCTGAATTCCGGCTCCCATCAGGCCCTACTCACAGCCCTGTGTCTTCTACACAGTACCGCTGGGTGGAGCAGCACCTGGGGCCCCAGTTCGTAGAACGAATTATCCTGACAAGGGACAAGACGGTGGTCCTGGGGGACCTGCTCATTGATGACAAGGACACAATTCGAGGTTGGATCCGTTATCTTTGGCAGCCTCCAGGCCTCTAGCCTGCCCTGATTAGGGAGAGGAAGTAATCATGCCCATTACAGATGTCAGCGCTGCCTTTCTTGTCCCAGGCGACGAGGAGACCCCGCGCTGGGAGCACATCTTGTTCACCTGCTGTCACAATCGGCACCTGGTCCTGCCCCCGACAAAGAGACGGTTGCTCTCCTGGAGTGACAACTGGAGGGAGATCTTAGACAGCAAGCGAGGAGCCGCGCAGCGGGAATGAGCGGGGATGCCGCGGGCAGCAGCTGGCGCTGAAGGGCGGGCAGGGGCCACCACAGAGCCGAGTCAGGGCGGCATCGTGCTGGTGCCTCTGGCCCTGTGGAGTGGAGCAGGCAGATACCGTTAAGCGCTGTGCTGCCAGGCCCCAGGCCCAGCCACCCGGTACCTTCCGAGAGGCTGCCGCTGACCCCTGGCTTGCGTGGAAATAGTGGGAAAACCAGTTGGAACTCTTTAATAAAAGATCTTGGTTTTCTGGTGTTCTAGGACCCTTTATTTGGGAACATAAAGGGACAGGCTCCCTGGGTGGGTGCTGATGAGCCCTTCCCTCCCCTCTGAGCCCAGTGGTCCCTGAATCTGCCTCATTTCCATGCCCATGTGGATATCATTCTTGTAGCACCTGCCATTCCTGGGCCATGTAAGGGGTCAGCCTTGAGGAGGTACACAAGAGGCAAAGACCCCCCATTTTCCCTGAGCAACTTCCCATCAGCTCCCACGCACCTTCTGTTGACCAGGTGGCGCCGTGGACATGGAGCCACATCCTTTATGTTGCTGTCTCTTCCTGTCTCCCTTGAGCACCATTTTCACTGCGTCCCTCATGAGATACACTTCTGGGGTAGGGCTCCCCATCACTGAGTGTGACAGCAAAGGAGGAGGGCCAAAGCTTTCAGCTGGGGCCGTGGAGTGGTGAGGGGGGAGGAGGAGGGCCAAAGCTTTCAGCTGGGGCGGTGGAGTGGTGAGGGGGGAGGAGGAGGGCCAAAGCTTTCAGCTGGGGCCGTGGAGTGGTGAGGGGGGAGGAGGAGGGCCAAAGCTTTCAGCTGGGGCCGTGGGGTGGCAAGGGGAGAAGATGCAGTTCCCAGGGCTGGCGCCTCTACTCCGACATCTCATCACCTGCATGGCCTTGTGCTTGATGCCCAATGGCCACATTAAGTCACTGGGCTGTCACTCAAGGGCAGGGACCATATCTTCATCTTGGAATCATGGTGCCTAGCAGATAGCAGGGCTGGGTGGACAGTCAATGCTGGGCCACAGGTTATCCAGGTTGGCATCCACCAGGCCCAAATGCCCAGCTTGGGGAGCCCCTGGGGGAGGTATCCATCCTCCACAGCCCCAGAGGGGGCACCACATCTTTTACCTTGAGGCATCTCATTCCTATCCCTGAAAACTACTCCAGACACTTCTGTTAAGGGATAATCCCTGATTTCCCGCAGCAAAGGCAGCTCTCCTAAGCCTCAGTCCCAGCTCTTGAGAACACTGTACTGTGAAGCCTCTGGGTCCAGGCACTTGGCCACTTCTTACACCAGGGCCTGAGCCTGGCAGTGGTGGCACCAGACGTAGGGTAGAGAGTGCCGGCCTATGAAAGCAGCTCCAGTTTGATCTCCGCGTGCCTCGGAGTCTGGCTTCCTCACTCCTGACGGCGTTTCATCACAGTGTAAATGCCTGTCCTGCTGAAAGAACCCGCCTTTCAAATGGCTGAAAAGGCACCAGTGGGGCAGCATATGCTCCCCCTGTTCCCTGCGTCCACATCAGGACCGTGGTCTCCACAGGAGGGGTGCTACAGTCTCGGGGTCCCCGTGGATCAGCGCTGCCGTGGGGCCATGCTCCTCGGCAGTGGGATACCCAGGGCAGAGTGCGCCTGCCGGCTGCGGGCCTCGGCCACCTGGCGTGGGGAGCAGAAGTCCTCCAGGAAGATCTGCGCCAGGTTCCGGAGCCTGGCACTGGCCGAGAGGGAGAAGCGAAGCATGCACTGCACCACGGGCGCGGCGGTCAGCTCCGGGGGAAAGCTGCGGCCCGGCGGGCTCAGGTGCATGAGCGTGGTAATGGCAGATAGCACCGTCTCCTCGTTGGGGCTGGACAGGCAGTTGATGATGAGTGGGACACCTCCTGCCTGCAGGATGTGCTCCTTGTTGGCCCGGTCTGGGCACAGGTTGCACAGGCCTCCTGTGGGAGACCAAGGAACAATCTGGATGCTGTAGCCCCGGGCCTCCTGCCAGCTCCCCAGCTCATGAACCCCAGGGAGGGCCCAGGCTGAGAAGCTGGTCCCAGCACAAGTGATCCAAAGCCCATTCCGGCTCCTGCCTTCTCGGTTCTAGAAAGGCCTGCCTGCTCCCGCCTGCCACAGCCCAGCCTTCCAGAGGTGCGCACAAATCCCTTTCCCTCTCGGTTCAGCCAGTTCAATGGCTGATACGCTTTCTTTTTTCCCTTTAATGTAAAAACCTAAAACAAGGCCGGCCCAGGCACAGTGGCTCATGCCTGTAATCCCAGCACTTTGGGAGGCTGAGGTGGGTGGATCACCTGAGGTCAGGAGTTCGAGACCAGCCTGGCCAACATGGTGAAACTCTGTCTCCACTAAAAATACAAAAATCAGTCGGGCGTGGCAGGTGCCTGTAATCCCAGCTACTTGTGAGGCTGAGGCAGGAGAATCACTTGAATCTGGGAGGCGGAGGGTGCAGTAAGCCGAGATTGCACCATTGCACTCCGGCCTGGGCAACAGAGTGAGACCCTATCTGAAAAAAATAAACTAAAAACCTATAATGTATCATCACCTTAGAACAATTTATAAAAATTATAAACATATAAGATGATGGTTTCATGGGTATACACTTACACCAAAATTTATCAAATTGTACCCTTTAAATATGTACAGTTTATTATGTCCATAATATAGCAATAAAACTGGTAAAAATACTAGAATGGGCTGGGCACAGTGGCTCACACCTGTAATTCCAGTGCTTTAGGAGGCCAAGGCAGGAGGATCCCTTGAGCCCAGGAATTCAAGACCAGCCTGGGCAACATGGCAAAACTCTGGCTCTACAAAAACACACAAAATTAGCCAGGCGTGGCGGTACATGCCTGTAGCCCCAGCTACTTGAGTGGCTGAGGTAGGAGGACTGTCTGAACCCAGGAGGTGGAGCTACAGTAAGCCATGATCGCACCACTGCACTCCAACCTGGGCGACAGAGTGAGACTCTGTCTCAAAAACAAACAAATGGCTCAAAAACAAACAAATTATAGGCTCACGCCTATAATCCCAGCACTTTTGGGAGGCCGAGGTGGATGGATCACCCTGAGGTCAGGAGTTCCAGACCAGCCTGGCCAACATGGTAAAACCCCATCTCTACTAAAAATGCAAAAATTAGCTGGGACTGGTGGCATATGTTTATAATCCCAGCTACTTGGGAAGCTGAGGCAGAATAGCTTAACCCAGTAGGTGGAGGTTGCTGAGATGGCACCACTGCATTCCAGCCTGGGCGACAGAGCAATAGTACGGTCTCAAGTGTCAGGCGGCTGACTGAACATTGGTTTTTCATCCCACAATTTGAAATATGTGAATACATGTAAGTATTTAGTAAAAATGGGATACTCTGCTTGCTGCTTGATCAGTTTTCTGAGATGGGGTCGGGTCTCCCTATGTTGTCCAGTCTGGTCTTGAACTTCTGGCTTCAAGTCATACTTCTGCCTCAGTCTCCCTGGGAGTTAAGACTACAGGCATGCACCACTGTGCATGGTTTACGCCAGCTTTTATATTATTTATTTATTTATTTTATTTTTTTGAGACAGAGTTTTGCTCTGTCACGCAGGCTGGAGTGCAGTGGCGTGATCTCAGCTCACTGCAACCTCCACCTCCTGGGTTCAAGTGATTCTCCTGCCTCAGCCTCCCAAGTAGCTGGGATAACAGGCATGTGCCACCACGCCCGGCTAAATTTTTGTAGTTTTAGTAGAGACGGGGTTTCACCATGTTGGCCAGGCTGGTCTCGAACTCCTGACCTCAGGCGATTCACCCGCCTCGGCCTCCCAAAGTGCTGGGACTATACGCATGAGCCACTGTGCCCGCCCCAGCTTTTTACATTTAACAATATATTGTGATTAGCGGGGCATGGTGGAGCCCACCTATAGTCCTAGCTACTAGGGAGGCTGAGGCAGGAGAATCGCTTGAACCCAGGAGGCTGAGGTTGCAGTGAGCCGAGATTGTGCCATTGCACTCCAGCCTGGGCAAACGAGTGAAACTCCATCTCAAAAACAAAACAAAACAAAAAAACCCCAAAAACAATGTATTGTGAACATCTTTCCATGCCAATAAATGCACATTCATGGCTATGCAATCATTGTAGATTAATGGTAAGGAGTGTACCATTTGACTTATGTACTGTAATTAAGAGATTAGAGCATTTTAAAGTTATTTCCATGTCACCGTTACTAGGATTCTGGAGGAAAACAGAAAAGGCAACAGTGAGACATCAGTGGTTGGTTCTGCATCAAAGAACTCATGTGCTCAGGTAATGTGGCCGGAATCCCACCCCCATTCCCTCAGGTCAGGCCCCCTCAGTGTAATGACCTCTTGGCCTTGGGGACAGATGCTACCTTGTTTTGGAGGTCACTCTGCTCAGCACAGCTGCTCACTGCGGGAAGATAACTTTCCATGCATCCTAACGCAGCTTCCTGTCATCACGGTACCCCTCCCTTTGGTTCCTGCTCAGTGGAGGAAACCACCTCTCAGCTCATTTGCAAAACATGCCCAGTGTCCTGAGTGATCAATCAGGAGTGAAGGCCACAGCTTCACCCACTTGCCCTGTTTTTCTGGAAACTAACAAAGAGAAGATTTACCTGAACCTGAAACCCAACTAAGACATATTCCCCAGCCGGAGGGACAGGTGCCCATGGTGCCCCTGCCAAGGACCCTCCTCCACTGACGGGGGCAGGAGCCTGTCAAGGTTTCACTCTGCTGCCTGCTCCCGAGCAGCACCTGGGTCAGACTGGTCCCGCTTTGGGGAAACTTTTTTTTTTTTTTTTTTTTGAGACGGAGTCTCGCTCGGTCGCCCAGGCTGGAGTGCAGTGGTGCGATCTTGGCTCACTGCAACCTCCACCTCACAGGTTCAAGTGATTCTCCTGCCTCAGCCTCCCGAGTAGCTGGGATTACACGCACATGCCACCACGCCCAACTCATTTTTTTGTATTTTTAGTAGAGACGGGGTTTCGCCATGTTAGCCAGCTGATCTTAAACTCTTGACCTCAGGTGATCCACCCATCTTGGCCTCCCAAAGTGCTGGGATTACGGGCGTGAGTCACCACACCCAGCTGGAAGAACATTATTACAGGATCCCACTGCATGTAGAGTAAATTCCAGACCCCGTGTGCTCCTTACCCCTGAGCTGTCCTGTCTGTTCTTCCCTCTCCCTGGCACTCACTGCAGTCGCCAACCTCAGTCCATCCCTGAGACCTTTCAGCCCCCAGCTGTCACACGCTGACACCCTCTTGCTGCT